CAAATTGTCTAGAAGTACCACGATCTTCTTTTGTGCCCAACGCCTGAGCCATGGAAAATTCTCGTGATGTGCCTAGCCGCTTGCTGGCGGGAGAAGGTTTGGAGGATTCTGGCCGTTTGGACTTGTTCGATAGGGATAGTCCGGAGGAAGAGCTGGAGCCTCCTTATGGAAGAGCTGGTGAGCGGGGGGAGAGTGATGATGATGCGCAAACTGCTCAGGAAAGCAGGACACCTGGAGGGATGTCGGTGGCAGAAGCGCCGATTGAGCCTCCAGCCACGCCGTGGGGCCACGCCGTGACACAAGCCTTTGAGGAAAGAAGGGTTCCTTCCACCGAAGGCGAGGAGTTGGTGCCTGATTATAGTCAAATGCCTAGTCGGGTGTTGGACAATTCGGGGCCTCCTTCTGTGAATGCTGGAAGGGAACGCTTGCCTAATCTGCCTGGACATGGAAACAGCGCTGGTCAGATGTCGGAAGCGCCGCCTTTGGGGCAGCTGCCTGGATATCCGAGTGGTGACAGCTTGCAAGGGCTGTTTCAGCAACTGGTTGCAGGGCAGTTTCAGATGATGGAGCGATTGGAGAAGTTAGAGCTGCAGAGCCGTATGGCGTCTTTGGAGTTGGGTGCTCCAATGGGAGGGGTACCATCAAGCTATCCGGGAGCTACGCGAGGTAATCAGCCTGGCTTTGCTGCTGGGTATCTTCAGGGACAAGAGCTATTGAGGGATGTTCCCGCGCCAAGTTCCGTAGGGTTGCAAGCTCCAGAGCCGTTCGTAGGGCCTTCACGTGAGAAGGGCAGAGCAGAATCGCAGCACAGCCATCACATTGAGGACATGGATGTTGATCAGCCTAAGGATGGGACCTTGGCCCAGTCTGGACCTCCTAATCAGGGGCTAGTCGAAGTGAATGGCCAGAAGTTCACTTGGGCGCTCAAGCCCGAAGGCCTCCAGCTTGTTCCTGTGACTGGATTCCCGAATCCCCAGCCCCAACATGCTTCCCAACCGCAGTCAAATCGTGGGCAGACCGCCTCGGGATCTCAAATCATGCAGGACATGCAACTTTCCCCTCATACCCATAGACTCCTTTCTAGATCACCTGGGGATAACATTTTTACGTCTAGAGCTAGATCGCCCTTCACCAAAGTGAATGCGGGGGAACAACGGCAACAACTTGTGAGGCGAACCCCTAGCCCTAATCGTAGGAGAACTAGTCCCGCTGGTGTCGGGCCAAAGAGGGGTAGAGGGGCTAATTGCTCAGTTTGAGAGTGGGCAGTAGGGTTCGAAAGGGTCCTGACAGTTGGGATGAGCCTAGAACTCCTTAAGCGTGGTGTCGAAGATAGTGTACAGGTTGGCGTGGCCCATGTCATGTCCAAGAACAATTTTTTTTGCGCGCGGCCCCCTCTCCGGGGTGCGA